ACAGGCTCGCCTGGGCGGCTTGGACTCAGCACAGGTGGCCCCCGACCTCTGGAAGGCCTACGAGCTGGCGGCGCCAGAGGCGCAGATGGGGGAGGCACGTGCGCTGGGGTTCCCTATGGGGCTGGTGTGGATGCTGCTGGGCACCTATCGGCAGCCAAGGACGCTGGCGGCGTTCAACACCACGTCGGACCTGTTCGTGGCCTGGCAAGGGAATATCGCAGGGCGCGGACATGCCAACTCGCTGCTGATGGTACTCACGCTCCGCGCGCTGCAGAGAGCGCACGCCACTGCGCCGTCGGCGACGCCGCGTGGCCTGGTGGACGACGTAATCCTGGACTGGAATGGACCACGGGGCGTGTCCGACAACAGCCTGTCCGAGGCGCTGAAGAGTTTCTCGTCGAGCATGGTGGAGCTCAAGCTAGTCATGCAGCCGCAGAAGTCGGGGTACCTGGCCTCCTCCAGACAGAGGCCCCCAGAACACGCCCAGGAGGCCTCCAGAAGGCCTTAAGAAAGCCTGAGAACTTTAGTGAGGCCCCCAGAAGCTCTCCAAGGAGGAGCCTTCGCAAAAAGAGCTGAGGAGGATGGGGAGAATGCCCAGGGCATGGCGAGAATGAGGACAAATAGGCATGGAGGAAGGACAACGAACAACATTATTATCACGGCGATTCCAGAAAAGGCAGCAAGGAGTTCTCGCTACATTGTCGGCTTGACCTTCCTGCCATTTCCGCCTGCATGCCAAACTTCAAGGACCAAGGTGCAGTGGCGCGAAGCGCCACTGCAGTCTTGTGTGAATATATATATATATATATATATATATATATATATATATACATACATACATACACCTATACTAGAGCCATCGCGCGCGCTTCGGCTGGGGGCGCGCTAGAAGATCTTGGACAGCGCTATCAAGCACAGGCGCGTGACATAGTCGTGCCTCCTGAGGGCCTCTTGGGAACCTCTTGGGTCTTCGTGGGGGAATCTGAAGGGCTTCTGGGGGGTTCTCCGTGCTTCCTCACTTGGCTGTTGGAGGCAGCTCTTGGGTGCTTTTCGGGGGGGCACCTTGGGGCTTCTTGGGGTCCCTTGGGTGCATCGTCAGGGTTCTCCCGGCAGTCGGAAAGAGATGTTCTGCAGTCTGAAGCAATCAATTGGCCGTCTTGGCTGCGTGGAGGCCCGGCTTGGGGCCACATTGGGGCAATCTGGAAGCCTCTCGGGGCCTCCTTGAAGCAATTTTGATGCATCGAGAGCACTGTTCGGCTATCTTGGGGCCCCGTGTGCGTCTCCTGTGAGCCTTTGGGGGCCTGGTAGGGGGCTTTGGGGGGCCTCGTCGGACCACTTGGGGACTCTTGGGGCCTCCTGTGGGCCTCTTACGGCGGAAAGCTCTGCTGTTGGGTTCGCCTTCCCTTTCCTGGAGCTCTCTTGGGGCCCTCTTGGGGCCCTCTTGGGGCCCTCTCGGGCCGTCTTGGGCGCCTCGGGCACCGTCTTGGGACCCTCGTGGGCCGTCTTGGGGCCCTCTTGGAGGCCTCTTCGGCTATCTTGGAGCGGTCTTGGGGGCCACTTGGGCCGTCTTGGAGCGTCGGGATGCCAAAAGGCTGGGAACTCTAAAATCCATCAAACGCCGATGGGAAAACAATGCTTTTTGGAATCTCTTCGGCCTTCTGGGGAGCTTCTTGGGGGCCTCTTGGGTCCCATTTGGGGGCCTCTGGGGCTTCCTGAGAGCCTCTCGGGGTGGAAGGCTCGGATTTTCGGTTCGTCTTACCCCTCTGGGGCCCCCCTTGGGGCCGTATTGGTGCCTCTCGGGCTGCCTTGGGCCCTGTTAGAGGCCTCTTGGGCTATCTCGGATTGGTCTTGGAGGCCTTTTGGGCCGTCTTGGAGCGTCAGGACGCCAAAAGGTTGAAAACTCTAACTTCAATCAAAAACCGATGGCAAGACATGGATTTTTGCCTCTTGGGGCCTTCGTGGGAGGCCTCTTGGATACTCTTCGGCCCCCTTGGGGGCTTCTTGGGGCCTCTTGGAGCCTGTTAGGGGCTTCTCGGGGCCTCCTGAGAGCCTCTCGGGGTGGAAGACTCGGATTCTCGGTTCGTGTCAATCCTCTTGGCTCCATCTTGGGCCGTCTTGGGGCCCTCTCGGGCCGCCTTAGGCGCCTCTGGCGCCGTCTTGGGACCCCCGTGGGCTGTCTTGTGACCGTCTTCGAGGTCTCTGGGGATGCCTTGGAGCGGAAACTGAAGCCTCTTGGGCCGTCGTGGTGTGTCAGGAAACTCAAAAGGCGAGAACTCGAACATCGATCAAAAACCGAAGGAAAAAGAATCAGTTGTGCCTCCTGGGGCTCCTTGGGAGCCATCTTGGAGATCTATTGGGGCGTCTTGGAGGCCTCTTGGACAGTCAGGGACCAATTCTGGGGTGATCTCGAGCGGTGATTGGTCGTTTTCGTTGTCTGGAAACGCCATTTCTGGCAATCCAGGGCCGTCTTCGGGCGACTTTACAAGGCCCCCAGCGCCACGGCAGGGCCCCGGGGCCCCCCGGTGCGAGGGCCCTGTCCCGGGCCCCGCCTCGTGCCCGCGGCAGGGGGTGGGTGGGCCGTCTCGGCGCCCTCGTGGGGGCCTGTTGGGGCGACATTGGAAATCTGAAATCCATCAAAAACCTAAGGACAATCAATGATTTTGGCGTCCCTTTGGGCCGTGTTGGAAGCCTTGTGGGCCGTCTGGAGGCCATCTTGGGCGTTTTCGAACGATATGTCCTCGTTTCGGGGCCTCTTGGGGGCCTCTTGCGGCCCTTTTCGTCTGTGTTGAGGCTTTCTTGGGCCGTCTGGGGGCGGCCCTGGGCTGTCTCGGCGCCCTCTTGGAAGCCTGTTTGAAGATTTCTGGGTGTCCTGGACCGTCCTCCTTTAACGTCGGCGGCACTGGCCGTAAGACTTCCTGGGAACATGATTTGTTGGGGTGTCGTTGGGCGTCTCCGGAGGCTTCGGGGCCTGACGCGTTTCCGAGCGTGGCGGCAGGTAGCGCTGCTTGGGACTCTCGTTTGTTTATCCTGGCAAGCGTTTAGGGAACGTGGTTTGGGGAGAGGGCGGCAACCCGAGGATCATGTTCCCGGGAAGCTTTCCGGGAGCATGATTTGTTCGGCTCTCTTAAGACGGGGGCCTCTGGGGGCTTACCGAGGGCCCTTTTTGGCCTTGTGGGCAAGCCGATTGGAAACATGGTTGGGGCGGTGGGCGGAAGCCCAAGGAATCATGTTCATGGAAAGCTCCTTGGGAAATGCGATTTACCGAGGTCTCTTGGGGGCCCGCAGGGGGGCTTCCCTGGGGGCCCCTTGGGGGCTTATTGGGGCTTCTGGGGTGCCTCTTGGGAGCCTCACGGGGCTTCTTGGGAGCCTATGGCCTCCGGGGGCGTCCTAGGAGCCTCTCAGGCCAGAGACCTTGAAATGTCGCGCTCTTCGGGCCCTCTTGGGTCGCTCTTGGGGCTCTCTTGGGGCGCTCTCGAGGCCCTCTTGAATTATCTGGGGAGCCTCCTGAGACCTCTGGTCTTTCTTGGGAGCCTCTTCGGCCGTCTTGGAGCGATCTGAAGGGCCTCTGACGCCGTCCGGGACCGTGGGGAGGCGGAACATGCGAGAGCGCAAAAATGCGGGGCCCTTTGGAGGGGCCTCTGGAGGCGCTCTTGGGGCGTTTTGGCGGCACCGTCGGCCGTCCTGAGGCCATCTTCGGCGTGACCAGGGCCTCTTGGGGCCGTCTTGGCAATCTTTAGGGCCCTCTTGGCGTGTCGTGGCGTGTTTGGGAGCGAGCCCGGGCAGTCCCGGGAGCCCTGGCGGCTGTTGAATGCTAGGTGTTGTCTTGGAGGCGGAGGCTGTTGAGTGCAGGGTGGAGCTTGCTACGAGGAAGGCGGGCGAGCGGCCGGGCGGGCGGGCGGGCGGGTGGCGGGCGGGCGGGCGGGCGGGCGGGTCGGGATTTGAACGAGTTCCTTCAGGATGCTCTCTTTCAGCGGGAGCTTGTTGAGTACAGGGTGTTGCCTTGAAGACGGGGGATGTTGACTACAGGGTGTTGTCTTGGAGACTGAAGCTGTTGAGTACAGAGTGGTGCGTGCTACGCGGACGGCGGGCGGGCGGCGGGTGCCCTAGGTGGTGGGTCAGAGGCCTCATGGGTGTTGGTTTGGATCTCATGGTTGGCTTGTCGGGGACGTCGTGAAGGCAGTTTCGCAGCTTCTCGGCAGCCGTTTTGGGACCGTTGTGGGGCCTCCTCGGGGCTGTTTTGTGGCCTCTTGAGGCTTCGTTTGGGCCTCCTGGGTGCCTCTCGGGGGCCTCCTGGGGCCTCTTGGGGGCTCCTTGGGGCATCCTCCGGCACTCTTCAAGCGGGAGGGTCGATGTTTGGAGTCGTGGTCCCCCTCTTGGGCGCATCTTGGGGCCGTCTTGAGGCTCTCTTGGGCTGTCTTGGGCGCCTCTGAGGCCGTCTGGGGGCCCTCTTGGGCGGTCTTGGGGCGCTCTTGGGGGCCTATTGGGCCGTCGTGGAACGTCGGACAGCTGAAAAGGCTGGAAGGCCAAACTCTCTCCAAAACCTTCGTAAAATTGACGATTTCAGCCTCTTGAAGCGCTCTGGAGAGGCGTCTTGAAGCGTCGTTGGAGTGCCTTAGGGAGCCTCTCGGGCCGTCTTGGGCCGATCTTGGGCGTCCTGGAGCAGTCTTTCGGCGACTCGGGGCCCGCTTGGGCCGTCTGGGGAGCCTCTGGAGGCCGTCCTGGACTATTTTGGACCTCCCCGGCCGCCCCGTCCTCCCATGGGGGGTCGGGGCAGCTGTTTGTGGGCCCCAGGCCTGCCCCACAGGGATAGATAGATAGATAGATAGACAGACAGACAGACAGACAGACAGACAGACAGACAGACAGACACACACATATATATATATATAGATAGATATGTATTTATTTATCTTTTTAATTATTATTATTATCATTATTATAAATATTAGTATTATTAATATTACTATTACTATTATTATTATTATTCTCTATATATATATATATATATCTTCATATGATGCATAGCCGCGCGCGCACCTGCCCCCCAAGCCACCCCTCCAGACGGGAAGCTCAGCCTATCAGGCTGGAGGCTCGGAACCTCGTGCTCTGGGAACCTCGCGCGCACTAACAAAAGCTGCAAGCCCAGCCCGCCTGACCGGAGCGGGCCAGTTCCGCTGGGCGTGACGCTCACTCTGGGTTCGCGGCCGCGCGGATCGCCTCCATGTCCGCCTGCAGCCTCCAATGCCCAGAGCCGCCAGGCCGGCTTGAGTCGTAGAAGGCCTTGCATTCCTTGGAGCCGGACTTGAAGTAGAGCACCTCTGTCGCGTAGCAGTCCTCGTCCGTGCCTCGGATGTACTGGTACATCAGCAGGGGTGGGAGACACGGCCAGACGACTGTGCGGCAGAACGTTCCCAGCTTGATGACGTTGCAGAAGCCCTGGGGCGACGCCTGAGGCACCGTCACGAACCTGTGCGCGAGCTGGACGAGAGCGCCTGCATACGACATGGCTCAGGCGCCGTGCGTAGAGAGTCGCGCGCAGGCGGATGGGAAGGTCGGGACCCGTGGAACTGAAGCTACCCGCCTTGCCTGGGGCAAAATGGCAACGGAGGGAAGAGGAGGCAACCGGAGGAGGGGTGGCAGGAGGGGCAGGGAGGAGGAAAAGGAGGAGGAATGCTGAGAGAGTAGGAGCAGTAAAAGAAGGGTTGGTGGTGAACTCGTTTCGTAAACTCGCAGCGAGCACCCCAGCGGTGGCGGACTTGGTCCAGCATGGCCTCCTTCCGCCTGCCCTGTGAACCGATGTAAAGTCAGGACCCGGGATCACAACACACGCGAGCGGCACCAAATCGATCAACCTGCAAAGTTGGCAGGGGCGGCCGACAGGCCTGATCTCGTGTCCAAGGCCTCGGTCTGCGGAGATCTCGCGAGAGCCTCCCCCCCCCCACCCCACGCGGCACTCGCAGCCGGGCGGAACTGTACTGCGCAGCTCTGGCGGCGGTGCATACCGTGCCTGGGGACGGCCGCAAGTGCACCGCGAGCAGCGGGGAAGGGAAACAAGGAGGATGATACAGGGCGCTCACAGGGCGCTCACAGGCCCCAAGGCCACTGCATTTCCAACCCAGGCGAAGATTTCAGAGTCAAGTCCCATACCATTTGATAGAGATCCACTGGAGTTCGAGTTGGAATGGTAGTTCCAGTCCGCAGCGGAGTCGCACATATTACATATACAGGCTTGAGTCGTTGTCAGGAACAGGTATCTAAAACCATCGGCGAACAAGGGTGATGGTACAGAATGGGCCAGCAATTTGGGAGTGTCTTTGTGGAAGCCTCGGTGGACCTCTCAGGCACTATTATAAGCGTGATTTCGACCGGATCTGTCCAGGTTTCGACCGCCGCTCTTCACCATTTCGTCCCGGTTTCCAGATTTCGCCCAGATGTCGACCAAATCCGCCGAAATCCAAACGAAATCCCCCAAAACAGAAGGAGTTTGGGGACCTTCTGAGGCTCCCATGAAAGATCAAACAAAGCAAGACAGGATAGTTCGAGCACCGCTCCCCTGGACATGCTAAGGGCACCGGCATCGGACACGCACAGAAGTATTGACGTGCGACGCTTCACTTCCTTCTGCTTCCCCTCCGTAGAGGCTGTGATCCAACTTCTCGCGGCCTCAGCGGGCCCTCAACCAACCTCACCCATGACTCGAATATTAGCTCTTGGTTACGGTGGTGATGTATTGTGCGAAAAAGCTGGCATGCTAACGCATATTACCCAGAAGCGGCCCGCATTATGCCCTTATTAAAAACCCACGGGCAGGCAAAGCGTTCTCATCATTATACCCGGAGCTTTCTCGAACAAACCGCACCACATAACAAACGATGCAACTGATATTGACCGACTAACTCTAAATCGCATGGCGGTATCCGAACGTACGCTCAATACATGCAGTCAGATGTGCACGATGCGATGGCAATCGAGGGTGCGAACGCAACCAGACAACAGAGAGGAGCAAGTGCCAAGCACGTTGCCGAGCACGCGACCACGGCCCAGTGGGCGACGAGCAGGAGCTCTTGCAGCAGGGGCAGCATCGCGGATTGGGACCAGGTGGCGCGAGAGGATCCTTGCAGTAGCAATAGCAGGCATAATCAGCGTCAACAGCATGACCGCAAAAGCATCTATGCTGTGAGCAGCGCCCAGTCCTTCGGGGCCTTGGAGCGCCTGGTGATCTTTGCGAACATCGCTGCTACGGGAATGCTGCGGAGACTGCACCGCAGCGCAACGGGCGCGGGCCAGAAACTTGAGCCAAGGCGGGCACGTCCCCACCGTTGGGAGGAGAAGCGCGACGGCGCGCTGGGAAGTCAAGCGCACGTGCTTTTTTCTGGAATTCGGGGTGACGGCGCACGGCATCTCGCGACGGACGCCGCGACTGGTGAGACCAGCGCCTCCTCATAATTACGCGTCCCGCCCCTCCTCCTCCTCCTCCTCCTCCTCCTCCTCTTCCTCCTCCTCCTCCTCCTCCTCCTCCTTTTCTTCATCCTCTTCCTCCTCCTCCTCCTCCTCCTCCTCCTCCTCCTCCTCCTCCTCCTCCCCCTCCTCCTCGTCATCCTCCTCCTCCTCTTCTTCTTCCTCCTCCTCCTCAGGTCCTCCGCTGTGCATCCGCGCGCCTCCTCCTCCTCCTCCTCCTGCTCCTCCTCCCCCTCCTCCTCCTGCCCGCTCCTCCCGGCGGCCACATCGACCGATGCGCTGGGTGATCGGTGATTGTCCCATGTCAAGGTCCACCTCCTCCTACTTCGTCCAACTCTACCCCCCCTCCTCCCCCCCCCCTCCGCCTCCGCCACCCCGTGCACGTCATCTGGGGGAGCAGAAATCGAAATCAACTGCCCTAGCCAACTAAAGCTGCCAGCCCAACCAAAACATCCAACCCAACCAACCACCCACCCGAGCCAACCCAACCAGCCAACCAGCCACCCAATCAACCCGCCAACCCACCCACATCCGCCGCCACCCACCTAAGGCCAGGCTGGACATCGAAAGGGGGGTAAATCGCACCGTGTTATTGTGGACCAGGTTTCGCGCCGCGGGGCGTCCGAGACGGTTTGGTGCTTCACGCGCGACAGAATCGCAACGTTTCAAACTCGGGAGGCCGCAAGAAAAAAACCCGAGAAGCCCTAATCCACGCGTCTCAATAAGTGGATGTGCGATGCATTGCGGGCCCCTCTGTCACGGTGAGGCTCGTCAGAAGAGCCCCTCTGTCACAAAGGGGCTTGTTCTGCGGTTTCTGCGCTACACGCCACGACTGGCGACAACAAAACAGCAGGAAGAGCAGGGGGCGGGAGAGGGAATGGGATGGACAAGAGAGAAGAACACAAAGCAGGAGAGAAGAAGACAAGGAAACAAGGAACCTTTTTCCTCAATTGTCCCGCTCGGGCAGCGCGCGCGAGCCGCTGTCGCCGAGCAGAAAGGCGCGCGCGAACCGCCGCCGCTCGCGCGCACGCGGCACCGCCCCCGCTGCCGCGGGTCGGCGCCGCGCGGCCCACGCGGCGCCCCCCCCCCGCTGCTGCGGAGGGGCGGCCCCTGCGCCGCGGCTCAGGATAGCTCGGCCCATGGATTCCTTCTCGCGGTCGCGGGGTCGCCGGCCCCGCCGCGCTGCCCCCGAATGGCCCGTCGAAGCCATTCGGGCACAGGCATTGCGCCTTCAGAGGGGACGCGAATACAACCATCATCGTCGAGTGTTTCGGCAAGAGCGCCCCGCGCGCACAGCATTGGAGGGCGTGCTTCGGCGCGGGGTGCTGGAGAGGGTGCTTTGGCAGCGGCGCTGGGCGGCCGTGGCCCCTCGCGCTCGTCGCCCCGCCTTCTGCCCAGCCAATTCGAGGAGTTCCCCCCCCCGCCAGTTCCCCGAGCTACCTACCCCGCCAGATGTTACAGGAGTTGCCCTCCCACTGCTGCCGCGGCCCAGCCCCTGCGAAGGCTGGCGCGCCCCCCCCCGCCCCACTGCTGCGAGTTGCCCTCCCGCTGTCGCTGCTCCGGCGGGCCCTGCCCTGGAGATGGCCGCCGCGAGCGCCGCCGCCACCTTGGGGTCGTAAAGTTTTCTACCTCGGCCCCTCATCCCACTCCTTGCTCACTGACGCCATCCCCATCCTCATCCTCATCGCCATCCTTCCTCAATTTCGTCGCCATTATCATCGTCATCCTCGCGCTCTCTCTCTCTCTCTCTCTCTCTCTCTCTCTCTCTCTCTCTCTCTCTCTCTCTCTCTCTCTCTCTCTATATATATATATATATATCTCTCCCTCCCTCTCTCTCTCTCTCTTTCTCTTCTCTCTCCTCTCTCTCTCTCTCTCTCTGCCCGCCCCCCCTTCCAAGTCTCTCGACTCTCCGCCCTCCACCATCCGTTGTCTCTCTCTTCAATGCTTGCCCACGCCGCCGCCGCGACCATCCATCGCCAGCTGCAGGCCACTCGCCGAGCCCGGCGACGTCGCCGTGTCCGCGCTGCTCGGGCACCGCCGCTGAAGCGGGAGCCACTGCCGCGGCGCCGCGGCCGGTTCCGCCCTCTCTCAGGGCGCGCTTCTGCGCCATCCGCTTCGCCTTGTTTTGCCCCCTTGCGGGGGGGCGCTGGCAGGCCGCGTGCATTTGGGACATCAGAGGGTAGCGGGCGCCGCCGCGCCAGCGCCCATCTACCTCCACGACCCCCACTTCGAGCTTCTTCCGTTGCGCGCGGAAAAGGAAGGCAACGCCCCGCGTGGTGGATCAGCCTCCGCGCGCTTATGTTTCTCGTTTGCTTTCGCTTGGATTGCGCTCAAAGGCGCTGGCGTCAGCGTCAGGGGGCCCTCGAAATGCTCGCGTGGTTGCCTATGTTGGCAGTCGCAATCGCACGGTGCCCCAGGGCCTCCATCCTTCTTGCAACGCCAATGCGTCGCCTCTGCACCCAGGTTGCCGGGCGCCCCCGCAGCTGCGGAGGCCGCGCCCGATTGCGACAAGGCCGATCACAGACGGCCACTGGCAGAGCGAGCCCTTCGCGTCTCGGTCGCGCAAGGCGCTCAGCGGCCACGAGACCTTGCATTCGCCGGGCTGGTGGAGAACAAGGATCCAGCGGCTGTCCAGGCGCGGGGCGCCTTCCAACCCGCGCCAGCAATGGAATGCTGCCGTTTCCAGCCGCAGGCTCAGGGCGCGCAGGCGCGGCGCGCCCAGCGCGAGCGCCGCGTTGAAATCGCCCGCGAGGACATCGACATTGCTCTCCTGAAGAACGGCCGCCAACCTTGCCCTGCAACGCCCCGAGGCTGCGGCGGCGGCGCGGCACTTCCGAACCATGGGCGGCGCAGGCGCTATCGAAGGACACCTTTGCCGCCATGATCCTGGTAAGAACTTTGGCCGCGCGGCCATTTCTGGCCCCGCAGGCGCCGTCGACGCGCCGCCCCCAGCGGGGCAGCCCAGCGCGATAAGCGAGGTTAGCGCGCGCAGCGATGCACGGGGGTGACGTCTCCATGCCGCGCAAGGTGAAGCACTCATACTCTGCGCGTTGCTGCAGCTTCGCGCAGCTGCCGGCGGCCCCATCTCGCGCCCTCTTGGCGCCCCCCGCGGCCGCCGCCCCGGCTGCCGCGGAGGCGCCCGCCT